TGATTCAAATCCATCAGGTTATTGCAAAAAAAATAAGGTCGGATACTTTTCTCACAGGCCTCGTAATATATGTTTTCACCCAACAGATAATGCATAACTACAGTTACTGTTTAACACTATGGTGCATGGCAGGGTCCACCCATTGCCTATGGACAAAATTGCACCACTGAAGTAAAATATTATAGAAAACAAGCTTATAGTCATTTACAAGTATTATGTAATTTTATACATTTAATTTTGGGTTGATTTCAGTTTGTGCTGAATGAAAAAAATTAGTGTTTGTCAATTTCCTGAATTATTTTCCGAGCATAATACAGCACTCTTAACCTTATCGGAGGAAATTCAAAATAGTTTTGAATAAAATGGAACCAGTTTGAATCATATAACTTCAATACATGTGTAATTTTATCAATTTTAGCTAATTACTGTTTTTCAACCTCAGTTGTCATGGTTTTATGTAAATTGCTTATATCTCAGCTGTTAGAAGTATTAGACGAGGAATCTGAACACATAATGAAAGCTCCGTTATTATTTTCTTTTCAACTTTATATGCCAATATGTCTTCCAATTCAGTGGAGACTTGCCTAGATATCAGAAAAAGTGATTAAAGTTAAACCTGGTGGTATGTTGCTAAATGAAAATATGATTTTGAACAATTTCTGCTAGAATTACAGTACTGATGTTTTACAACTTGCTATATCATTTTATACTTTATTTGAATTAAAATGAGGGACATACCACAATACCGGGAATCCCAAACCTGTGTGTTAATGAGTTCCCCAGATATTCATCATCATCATCATAGACAGCAATACATCGATAATTCTACCGATGCTTAGCTGCCACACAATCATGAATTATTATTACAAGAAAATGGAGACAAAAGTGGGATCTAACAAGCCATGAATACAGAAATGGTGGAGCACATACAGACGAGGGCACAGCATCTAAGCCATGCATACACAAGCACTCGGGACAAGTCCTCTGGGCGAGTCCAGCGACATCAGCGCGACAGCTTCCTTGCGGCTTTCACTGCCACGCATCATAACATGCCTTGCTCGCCAGTGGACTTGGCAGACAAACCAATAAGATGCCTACAGCACAACCGCCACTGAGCCCGGTTTCTCGCCATATCCTGCAGAGTTAACAGCCATTGGTCTGCGGCGCGCGGACCCCATCCAGGGAGTCTAACCCTGCCAACTGAAGCTAATCTACTTGTAAGCCCTTTCGTCTGACGGCTCCAGGTCAATGCCTGGCCCCCACGTACTCTACGCCAGCTAGGATTGGGGGTAGCAAAGAGTGTCCTATGTGGGAAGCGGCTCGGTGACATACGCAATACATGTCCGAGCCATCTTTTTTTGCTCAAGTTCACGAGCGTTCCTAAATCGGACTCTGGTCCAAGAATACGATCATGGACCGTGGAGTTTCCGATCCTCCGGTGCCAACCTATGCCAGATATTAGATATAACCCCAGATATTAGAATGTATAGAATAGACTCCTGGGATTTTTGGGGCTGTATTAACCCTTTTTATGACTGGAGGGGTACCACTGATATTTACCTGATTTTATTTTATCTCATAGTTTTTTATGCTTAACCAAATTCCTTGAAATTTCAGAAAAATATACTACATATTTCAACAGAACAATTGTATGTCTTCCTCAGGTATGATCTACAGCTAAATATACTGAATCCAATAGGTAGATTCACTTTCCTTGTCTTGTTGATAGTGTTACCTTGTGACATTTGTTTCCTTACAGCATTGGTCAGTTCTTACAGTCAGTCAATGTTATAATCAGCCAGCATAGGATATTATACTATCAATCCTTTTTATCTGGCTACTATATATTACTGCAACATTCTCTTGGGCAGAAGAGACATCACCTACTAAAGTGAACAAAGAAACAAAGCAACTAGAACAAGGTAATCTTAAGAACTTTCTGGACCATATGTTGCTGCCATATAGCACAGAAACTAGATAACCAAAAAATTTCTGTTATTACAACAGGTAGAAAATGTGATATGCCTGCTTCTCATAGGCATATCAAAGGTATCTTATGAGAAATTTAGAACACTTACAAACAACTCACAAATATTGGAATTTTTTACACCTTCTTTAGATCTTTTTTTTGTTGCTGAAAAAATTTTCATGTTGAATTATATCTGTTTATTAAAGAGATATGAGATACTAGGTAAGTACAATAGGCAACAGCAAAATATTTTGATGCCTCAAATCCTTATTGAATACTAGCTGAATGTCCATCATATGATGTTAAATGCTTATTTGTTTTGTTTCAGAGAATTTATTGTAAATAATTATTTTAATATCTTTTATAAAATTAAATTACATTATGATAAAAATTATTTTTTCTAGTATTTCCTGAAAAACATTTTTTTATGTATATTTTGCCATCAACTCTGTATGTATGTATGTCTGTGATATTTCATACTTGCATTACATTATATATAATTAAAAATGTAACATTATTTCAGCAAAAACAAACATTAGCAGGAAACATTTCTAACATGAAAACAACAGCAAATTGAAAAGTTAATGTCAAATGCAATTTAAACTTATTGAGAATTATCATATTCTGATTGTGCATGTGTGTATTTTTGTGTTAAAACTTACTGTCAATTTCAAAAAGAACACTGTTCAAGTATAGGCCATTGCAAACAGATGTTATTCTTTTGTAATATTATAAAAAAAAAAGAAGGCCTTTATTTCACAGATTAAATTTTCAATTCTACCTTTGGTGAAAAGAAAAGAAATCTGTAATATTGTAAACTTTAAGTTTTAGAAATACCTGTAGCATTGATTTTAATTCAGTGGTATAGAACACCTAAGTTGAAGAAATGAGGCTTTTTAGACCTAACGAAAGGTGTCAGACTAAAACATGCCAAGGTCTATTTAGCAACGTTTTTAGCCTAAAATGTTTTTTTAATTTATAAAAGTACAAAAACATTGACATTTGAGACCATTTTCCATTGTCATGATTAGTAAACAATCATCAGAGTGAAATAGCTAAGCCAACATTTTATACCTCAGTCTCTGTTTGCTGATTTAACAGTTTGTTTTATTTTATTATTTCCTCTAATTTTAAAAATTAATAGTTTGAATTCTCTTATAATGTTATTGAGATATCAGTACATCCTTTTGGTCCTAAAAGGTTAATGAATATTTTAAATTAAAAGTATTTATGAATAATTGTCATTGTACCATTAACATATTTGTAGCTTCCTCAAGTTTTATAGTTGATGGAAGTGGCTTAGACAGCTCTTGTTCTGGTGGTGTGGTGCAGAAGATTCATGAAGAGAATCTGGCTAAGCTTGCTGAAATGACTAATGAGGAAATTCTTGCAGCACAGAAGCAATTATTAGGCCAGTTAGGTAAAAAATATCCAACATATATATTATATTAACATTTATGATGTAATCTTAATGTTCTTGCTTAAACTTAAATGAAGATCCAACCAATGTACTTGATTTATACTTTTTTTTTACAATTCAGTTCAGCTTTTTCTTTCTTGAAAAATATATATATAAAACATATCTTCAAACAAGGGTGTGGAACGTATATTGCCCAACACCTAGGACAATGAGTTTTACTTTTGTTCTTTGCCTGTTGGAAAATGATGTTTTCTTATTGACATCATTAATTCTGTAGACTTCTATGGTTCTTTGCACATTGCTGAAAATTCTCAACTACAGAAGACTGACTACGTACACATAATCATTTAAAAATATGTACCTCTAAACAAAAGCTATATACATAAATTTACATATTCCTTTAATTCACAAAACTTCAGTCACCAATCTTACTAATTATAAGCAACAAGAAGTGCACTTAGTAAGAAGTCTAGCAGCGAGAGAGTAGTAGCTTTAAAACAATCAATTGTACTGAAAAACTGATGTATTTGACATACTTAGAGATATAAAACTAGATAACTCAAAATGTCTTCTACAATGATACAAGAGATCCACCATATTGATCAAGGGATAGCTGTATTACTATTATTACTGTATTATTGTTCAAAATAAAGATTTCTTCATATTAAAGATATTTTATTTCTTATTTCTAAATTACATTTGTGTGTTCCTTTCCTTCTTTGGTGAGATTAACAGGCTTTGGAAGTCATAGTGTTTGGAAAACATATATAGCAATTGGTATTTATGGTTCCTGACAATATTTAGTGGGACCCAAGAATAATCATTAAACATTGGTTTCGTACAGTTTCATATCTAAATATGTCAAATGTTTTAATACTTTTTTAATAAATTAGAAGTTTTTATACCTACTGTCTCACATAGCTGACTTTTGACTATTATAAGTGTCTTGAAACTTTTTGTCACTAATTAGTGAAATCCTGTCACACTGTAAAATATGGATTTAAATTAACTCCCTAAACAAGAATGGATGCTGCCATTGTCCGACTGAAAATCCCAATTTAACCATTGGACGGTGACAGAGTCTTTTAAAATTTATGTCTCTTTGGCTGAAATGTGAAATGTTCTGTATCGTGAAATTCTAATGACTGAATGATAGTTTTTTTTATGTTTTCATCATAGCACACTCTATGAAGAGATGGCATGGATGCTTATATTAAAGCAATACAAAACCTATCTGGATTGTCTTCTCTTACAATAATTTGTAATGGTTTTATTTAATGAATATCACACTTGATTTCTTATCACTGTTTGTGAAAGTTGAAAAAAAACATATTTTCTCAAAATTGCAGAATTGTATCTGTAGCACTATGCAAAATCTTAAGTTATATTCTACTTTTTTGTGTTTTGTAGGATGGGGAGGAGTTAAGTAGATTTTTTCACAATTTGTTTCTTAGACTAAAAATCATTTTCAAAAATTCAACATCCCTGTTTGGAGTTCAAATTATTCATTTGTATATTTATTGTGGTTATTATGTAATTGGGTTGTTTGGATATTCTAAATATCGAGCTCAAATAATTTAAATATTTAACTTAAAATGAAACCTAGACTCCTAATAACACTTTTTGTTAGCAGTTGTGTTAGGTTTAAGTGAAGAAGATTGGTTTGTAACAAAAACTCAAGACTGTAGTTAATCTTTACATATTTATGTGTGAACATAATTTCCTTTAATTTCTGTTTAGATCCAAGTATTGTTAGGTTTCTTAAAAGCAAGAGGAAACAAGATAAGGAAACTTGTCAAGTAGACACTAAAAATCAGCAAGAAATTATGACCATGGGCGATGAACAAAGATCAAGCCAATTTTCAGCCAATAGAGACCACATCCTGGCTTCTGAAGTGGAGGAAACACGAAGTTCGTCTTCAACATCATGTAATAATCTAGTAGAGTAATAGTGCACAACATAAGGTCCAAAAAAAGACCTACTAGCTGCTTTAATCTAGCCTGCAACCATTTTAATATTATTAAAAAATAGCCCCCCTTAAAAATAAATATATGTTCTGTTATTTGTTAATGAACTACACTGTTATTGGGTCTTCTTTCTTCTTAAAATGTGTGTTAAAATGTCTCCTGGTGTTAAAAAATTACAATCGATTCTGTTGCAAGGAACTTTCGTTTGTAGGTTCTTTTTGATTATCTAGTAGAAATAAATTCACATTCAGGCAACTTATTGTTTAAAGTAAGTTATTTATTTTCTTGGTTAAATAACTCGCAAATAAAACTTAAATTTTCTAAAATGTGTTTTTAGTGTTGTGTATCAGATTTTGGACCTTGGTCACTTGGCTTGTTTTTCCATATTTGGCCTCATAAAATTACATGTAATACTGTACTAGAAAGTGGATCTTATGACAACCTGAGAAGTCACATTTTTACACGAATCTTCCAGATTGCTGATATTTTAAAAGCTACCAGATTAGTTTATGCAGTAGCCCTCTTTCCTGGAATTGCTAGTGTAATAAATTATGAAGCTAACAGACTGTTGACAAACTACAAGAAAACGTTATGAATTGATTTGTAAAATCTTAAACATTTTATGTTTACATTGTTGGGGAAAAGATTTTTTCATCTATGGGGGAAATTATATTAAACAAGTTTAAAGCCTTACCATGTTATCCCAGTCTATGTTATCATGTAGGTCATACTTTATATGGCAACTTTGCATCATGACAATAGACCTGCAGTATCCATTACAAAAAGTTCCATTGTATTGCTATCATGTCCAAAGCACATCACTCCTCCATTCCAGCTTTCTATGTAGTGTGTAGGGATGAAAGTTTTCCAAGACCTGTTTCAATTTTGATTAACCAGTTATTGTAACTGACACTAATTGAGGTAGTTGATGCTCATAGGTAATAGATTATATTAGTTAATCAAGTTAAATGCTCATCTCTATTCAGTATGTACTGTATGAATGCAGTTAGTGTTCATTGTTTTGTATAAAATTGAATATAATACATACTTTAGTAGTAATTTGTGAATCCTAAATACATATCAATCCTCATGAAGCTTAGCAGTGGTTACATGTGGACAAAGTAGAAAAGGAAAAACTAACGTGGATAATTTTGTTCCATTTTTCATTTCTTAGCACAGAAATCCATAAGCACTGGGTCCAGCAACTTGACTGGTAGATCTTCGTATGGAATAACACAAATGTCTGTTTCATTCTCCATCTGTATAAGATATGTGGCATTGATTGAGAAATATGAATGGAAGACTTATCATGGTTAATCCTTATCCTATTATCCATTTTTCCATACAATGCTGATATTTTTATGTGATACACAGGGCTCAGAACATTGGTTTGATAGTGAGCAGAGTTCATCTTGACCTTTGCATCCACTCTTCTGATCCATAACTTGTCATTAGTGTAGTATCTAATCATGATCGTGAATTCTTTAAAAAAAATTTTGCAACATGCCGTGTACCATTTCTGAAATGTTTTTTTTCACCAACTGATCAGTGAAAAATGTAATGGGACTTGTTACTGTTATCAAAACAGTATTCATGCAGTTGGTCATCCTTTTCTGGATATGTCATAGAAGCAACTTCTTTGTGTACAAGTGATTTGTGTCTCTTTTTTCCTGATGGAGATCCTTCTTGATTATGTTTCATAGTGTTGCTTGAGAAACATGGAGGATGATTTTTGTCTCTGATCTTTGTGTTTGTGGATTCTTACCTGTTACTAGACCAGCTATGGTAAGGAGAGCAGTCTTTTTTTTTCTTGATAGTCCTGGTGCCCCAGTTTGATTCATATTCTTTTGTTTTCCAATGCCATTAAGAATTATCCCCATCTTAGAAATTCTAAATACCTGACTTAACACGCCCTTATGGTCTGAGTGTACAAATATTTTGTGTCAGAAAGGGCTGTTACATATCCTTCCCAAAACCCATGAAGTTTCAAACAATCTCAAAATGTAGTTCTGATACATTCTGTGAATTTATATTGACTGTGTTCATGTAACTTGCTGATCTGCAGATTCAGACTCAATATAATATACTCCAGTAAAAAATAAGTGCTGTAATATTCAAGTTAAGTAGTACTTTGTGCTATCTACAAATGCTGTAAAGATTAACAGATTTATAAGCACAAATTAAGTAATGAAGAAGAAACAAATTTACAAAATATGAAGATGAATACCCTGAGTAATTTTGATGTGCCATATATGTCATTTTCAAGGGTATACTGTGTGTGTGTGTGTATAGTGACATCTTCCGAGTGTTGTTTTCTCAGTATGATTTCTTCATAAATATTCCATTGAAAAATGTTTTCCATAATGGATTCAGTCGGAAGTCCATATCATTGTGTATGAGCTTGTCTGCATTCTTGTGTATGTCAATAGATAGAGAAAACAACACTCGTAAGATGTTGCTCTACCACACACACATAGTATACCCTTGAAAATGACATGTTATGTTGAGTGGTCATCTTCATATTATGTAAGTTTGTGTTTGTTCTTCATTACTTAATTTGTGCTTATAAAGCTGTTAATCTTTAAAACATTTGCTGGAATATTGGTTACTAAACTTGATAGCCTTAAAGATTATGATGTTTTTGCAGTATATTAAGTAAAGCCATATTCTTTAAATTTTTAAAAGATTCTGAAACAGTAGTGTTTGTAGTTCTTAATTTCATTCTTTTGTGTAAAATTATTGTGTATACTTTAGTAGTAACTTGTGAAGTTTTATTATTGATTACAATGCAGTTGTACAGTTGTTTTTGTTGACTTTTTTTCTGTTATATAGGTATAGATATGAAAGACAAATCTAGTGAAAAGGAGATAGTGGATTCAAGTACTACAGGACATAAAGGTAAACCCATCAGAGAGCAAAGTGGGTTTCCTACCACTATAGGAAGATATGTAGTTTTATTCCTCACAAAATTCTAATGTTTATTGGAAATCTTTGAAAGATTGATACCAGACCTTGTAGATATTTCAGTGTGCTTGAGCATGATAAGTTAAATTCGTTGAATTTTCTTTAGTGATTTAATTTTCTAAAGATATCATGTATTAATTTAGTTATTTTAATAAAATTACTTTTCAATTTACTTTCTAGACATTGAGTTGAATGAATCAGGACTACCGATTAATCCTCGTGAAGCTCAGCAGTGGTTACATATGGACAAAGTAGAAAAAGAAAAACTGGCCTGGATGACTTTATTACCAAAACCAAACCTAGTAGATTCCAAGGTAAAAAAAATATATATATATATATATATATATATATACACAAGTTTTAAGGCTACCTTAATGTTCATTGAGTCAAAAATGTTTGTTTAAAGTCATAAGAATTAAGATTAAAATTACTGCCTTTTAATTCCATTACTAAAATGCCCTTAATATTACCATGCTGTATTTACCTTAGCAGTTACACTAAAGATATTTCTGTTGGCATCTTGACAGAGTAAAGATGGTGAACTTAAAATATTGGCAATATATTTTTATAGACAGAGTATTCTGCTCGATTTGACTTTGAAGGAAATCTATTGCGTCATGATATTGATCTGCCAACTCAACTTGGTCTTCATCATCATGGGAAGGAACCAGAGGTAGGAATCAACAAACTCATTTATTTGAGATGTTATTATCGATAGTAATCAGAGGTTGGTTGTAGCTAAACCATTTTTTTATTTTTTCTTGTCATATATAGGAACCTGAAGCTTATAGCAACATTTATTTGTATTTTTATCATATATAGGAACCAGAACAGGTAGTTGACAGACCATCTCTTTGAGTTCTTGTTGTGAATCAAATCTAATGTTTGTGACTTCTGATAAATCACTTACCTGAATACCATAAAAAAAAGCTAGTTTTGATAGAAACTAATTACTTTTTTTTTTCTGAATCTTTATCATGAAAAAGAAGCTGAAGGTTTATTCATTTGAGTGTTTAAAATAAAAGGGAAATTAGTATTTCCTCTAGTATTTATAGTATCTGATAACTTTAATATTTGTGTGAAATCTAATTACAAAAAAAAGTTGGTTGCTAACAACTTGTTTGATTATTACTCTTTAAAAAACAGCTGGATTTGGCAGAGAAAATTTTTTTAACAATTTTAGTATTTATAGTAGAAAAAAAAACTAAAGTTGATAAAAGAAACATAATAAACTTAGATTTTAGGTTCTCAAACAGAGAGATATGACAATTAAAATTAGAATAAATTTCCACAATAAAAATCAGAACATTTTAGGATAGGACAGTGTTTTGTAGACTAACAGTATCTTAAAAGATAAACCAGGATGATAATGAAATTCCTACATAAACTCTCCCTTTAACTATATATTTTTCTTAACGATTCACTACTGTTCATTATAGGTTAAGCAGTACTTTAACCCCTTATCATCCATGGAAAGTTTTTGTCCATTACCGTAGCAATGCTTTGACCACAACAAATCAGGTGCGAAGCACTTAAATGGTGCATGAGAGATTTGGCATACAAATATATGTATGTGTGTGTGAGTGTTTGGAGATGATGTCTAGCATGCATAAATATACAGGTGGAGATGATAAAGGGTTAAAAGGTACTTTAAAATCTCCTGTTATAAATAGCTTATCAATCAATATTATTATTGTATAGAGACCAGCTAGTGATTAAGACAAACATTTATTTCCTGGTATTTTAGATCCTCAATTTGAATTCAGTATCTTTAATAATCTGAAAATATGTTATTTTTTCAGTTACATGTTAAGAGTTTTTTCATGTATGTTAACTGTTCGAAGTAGGTGGCCGGTTACACAATAGAAGAACTGTTTCGTATGTCTCGGAGTTCACTGCAGTCACAACGTGTAATAGGCATACGGACATTGGCTCAAATTCTTAGTAAGGTAAGGATAAGGGTGTGGAAAACTTCTTGTTGATGGGACAAGATGCTAGAAAATAATCAGTTTGTTCTTTTTAAAAATCTAATTGAAAATACTTATCCCACAGAACAAAAAAGTGGAATGTAACTTAAGATTTTTCTTTTATTTATATATTTATTTAGATTTATGTGTATATATGTGTGTGTGTGTGTTTATATATATATATATATATATATAACACATATATACGAGAGTATA